CCTCTCTCTCTCTCTCTCTCTCTCTCTCTAAAATGCGCTAGCAACACAAGATCTCGTGCACCAGAAATTAGTGTTTAAATAAATAAATAAATAAGTTGCAACAAGATAGTAAGGCAAAGTCTCATATGTGTCTAAATGTAAAAGGATTTTTTTAATATTACTATAATTTTCTAAGAATGAGTAAATAAATAAAATAATACGTATGAAACAGCTATAACTATAAACATTATAATATGGGAACAATACATATTTAAAATGTTTGAAAGATACAATTTCAAAATCAATAAATTTATTTTAAAATTTCAAAAATTAGGTCATAATTAAATTTTATTAATTAAATAGATAATTAAAAATATTTTATTAATTGATATACTAAGATCATAGTATTATATAGTTTATGATCACGATTACGTATTGTCACAATCACAAAGCGTCATGGTGATGAATCATAAATTTTATAGCTTACAATTTATTTATATGTCATAAATTATAATATTAATTGGTCATATATTATCTTTCGATTGCAAATCACAAATTTTATATGCCACAACTTTTTTCTCAATCACAAATTATCAAATTAATAAGTCACATATTATTATTGTATCACAGTTTGTTAAATTAATTGATCACATCACAAATTATCAAATTAATTAATCAAAACTTAACAAAATGCAAGTCAATATTACAAATTTAATCAGAATATCATATTTTTTAAGGTCACATTACTTATTGATCACAAATTAATATATTTTATCGATTACATATTATTTATTAGTCACAATTAAGCATTTTATTAGTCACAATCATCCAAATAATTGGTCACAACCCCACCACTGCCGCTAATACTACTACCACCTCATCATCATCGCCAGCACCACTATGGTCTCATTGACGATTGATGCCCACATCTTGCTAAAACCACCCAAAATTGCCATTACAAACAAATCACTATCTCACAAACACAACTCTTGTCGCTGATAATCACCATCTCAACACATTAATCCACAACCATCTCCATCACCCACAATCCTTTCATATAGCATTGGCCACTTCATTAATCCACCCACAACAATGAGTATCGTAGAGCGCAGTGCTCTATGGTGAGAAACATTGCAATGGTTGGTCCGACGACAAAGAGAGAGGAGAGAAGAGATGACAGAGAAGGCAAAAAGAGGTAAAAATTATTTAGGGTTTGAAAGTGAAATCGGTGGAAATTGGGATGATTACTTAGATTAATTTAATTTTACGATATCATTGTTACTATTAAAAAGTTGAATTATGTGTGAGTGTGAATGTAATTTTTACTTATAATATTACATAATAATTTGACATAGTCCGGTTTAATTCGATTGTAAAGAGAATCGCACCAACAAAAAGTTTGGAATATTTAGTAAGCAAAACCATTAGGTCTAAATTTAATTATGTAACCAACCGGTTCGGTTTCATTTGATTTAATTCTATTGTACCATAATTAATTTTTTTAACATTGATAACAACACTACATTAATCTAAATAGTGACATGTTCAATTTTAGCTCATACAATACCTTTTTTTTTTTTTTTTTTTTTTAAGTGGAGGATGGCACTTCCAAACGTTATTAAAACCCTCGCTTATAGAGAAGGAAAACCAAAGTTACAGTCTTAAAAAGACAATCTAAATAAGAAGTAAGATCTCAGAAGAAATCATTTGATGCAGGAGGATCCGAGTCGAGTGATGCTGATCTATCAGATAGCTCGTTGATGGCACTGAGATACCATGAGATGGCGGATCGACGCAAAGATGAAAAATAAATGCAATCTTTCCTTAATTGGGGCAATTTTGGCGCCTTTTTGGTAATTTGACCATAACTTTGGCTACAGTTGTCAGAATCGCTATTATGAACCTAATCCGAAAAACTCTCTTCAGCGTGCACGTTGTGGTTCGATGGGCATCAATTTCGAGCCCAAAATTCGTTGTTTTCCTTTTCGAAATTCAATTTTTAGTTATTTTTTACTATTTATGGTAATATTTCGTTTTCTTTTTTCTAGACGTTAGAGAATCCGGATTGAGCCAAATTTTTAGCAACTTCTTTTATTTCATATTTTATTTTGGTGTGATCGTTAGGATTTTGTCATTTTTGGTAATTTTTCAATAATTTCGTATTTTTGTAGCTATTTAACCCGGCTTGTGGGTTAATTTTTGTCATTCTGCATTGATAACAAAATTAAGTTAATTTCAGAGAATTTCTTTGTGTTCTAAGGCGTTTACTTTCATATTCTCTTGTGAATCGTTTGTTGAAGCTAGCTTGCTCACTATCTTGCCTAGCTTCAGTTGGTATCAGAGCATCAGCATCTTCCTGAGGTGAATTTTCATCAGTTACAATGGTTGGTAGACGTGGTCGTGGTCGTCGAGGGCAGGTTCCGATTGAGAAAGTCCCACACCGTGATCGCAATGTTCAGGATGTGACGATTGAGAATTTACAGAGATAAGTTGTGGAGTTAACCCAGCGTCTGGCGGAATAGGAGTTCAGTAATCATGATGTGGAGGGTCACGATTTCGATACCAATTTCAAAAACCCGTATCATAATTGTGCTCGAATCTGGGATCATCGTGGACGGGAAGATCGCCATGTGGATCTTGGCTTCAAAGCGGATCTACCCGAGTTCTCCGGTACGTTACAAGCTGAAGGCTTTATTGATTGGATGAATGAAGTGGAGCGAATTTTTTAGTATAAGGAGGTTTCAGATCGTGTCAAGGTAAAATTGGTCGCCACCAAACTTAAGGGAAGAGCTTCTACATGGTGGGAACAATCGAGGAGATCGCAAGAGCGGCAAGGCAAGTCTAAGATCACTGATTGGAAGAAGATGAAGATGAAGATGAAAGGGCACTTTCTTCCTTTCGGATACGCTCAAACTTTATTTTAACCGCTTCATTCACTGAGGCAAGGTATGAGATCTGTTGATTATTATACGGAGGAGTTCTATCAATTAGTAGCCTGAAACAATTTATCTGAAATGAAAGAACAGAAGGTTGCACGATATGTAGGAGGATTAAGGCAGTCTTTACAGGATGTTTTAAGCCTTCATTCATTGTGGACAGTGTCTGAAGCATACCAATGTGCACTAGCCGTGGAAAAGTAGCAAAATAGAAAGCCAGTGGTCAGAAGTGAAATTAGTCAGCCAATTCGACCTCAAGCATCTCGTCCTACCTATCAGCCCCCGCGGACAATCCTAACTCAGGCATTAAGTATTTCAGATGTGGTGAACATGGACATAGGGCGACTGATTGCATGAAGTCAGTTGGTCAGAAAAATAAAAATCTTCTAATTAAAGAGGATATGATAGAGGATATCGAGAAGGTTGGCGAGCTTGTATATGATGAAGGTGAAGATAAGGATGTGTTGTATGAAGATGGCCAGGAGACTCTAGTCGTTCGCAAGAGTTTGTTGACTCCCGAGGGTGATTCAGAAGACAATTGGTTGAGGACCAATGTTTTCCACCCAACCTGTACAATTGCCAATAAAGTCTACAAGTTAATCATTGAT